CTACCATCCCCACCACTGCTATCACTGTTACTATTACTACTACTGTTGATGCTACTACAAGTGTTATGATTACTACTGCTAATACTATTGTATATTGTTACTAGTAACAATCAGAGTAATAGTAACACCATTGTTACTAGTATTCTTATTACTACTACTATTAATACCATTCTCATTATTGTTGTGATTAGTACTATTATTACTACCGTTAGTATTATTACTATTAGTATCATTGCCACTATTGCTATCCTTGCTGCTGCTACTATTTTGTCAAGGGAGGAGAATTTTGTCCTCCAAGTTTCTTCAAGGAGGGACAACGACCTCTCACCTTGCTGACTGAATTCTGGACTACTGGATCAGAAACTCAACCAAAAGTCCTACTACACTTCACAGAACCAATACCCTAAAGGAGTCAGAGTCTTCCCTGGTGCTGCGGCAGCCGGCTTTGAGGTCAGGGTGGGGTGGGGTGGGGAAGCCCTTTTGGAATCACTGGCTGGAAGCCACCAGCTTCCTCTGCGTTTGCATTTGGGAATCAGTTTATCTGCCCTGGAGTGGGGTCACGATCTTCCCCAGATGGTCGGGGGTCTCCTGTGCCAGGCTCAATTCCTCAGGCTCACATTTTAAAACACTTTGTCCTTTCCAAGCAAACAGATGGGATTTACGATGGAGGTGGCTTCCAAGTGGTTCTTCCCTACCCAAATCCTATCTTCTCAGGGCCAGACATAAAACAAAACAGAGCACCTCTCCCAGCTTTTGAAGCCAGGGATAAGAATGCCTCATTTTTTGAAGGGCCCAAGTGTTACAGGAAGATGTCAATCACATCAAGCTGTGATTTGTTTTGCAGGTTTCTTTGGGAGAAAGGGCGAAAATGTAACGTTGAAATTAAAACAGAGAGAGAGAGACAGTGAAACTTTAGCATTCAAAACATAATAGACAAATGTGAATTTAACAAATGGAGCAAAAATCTCCAGAGATGGTGAGGGCTGAGCCTGGCTGGCAGATCCTGGTGGAAATGGGTGAGGTTAAACCATTGAGCCCCAGCGCCAGAACTTCCCTCTCCCTGCTCTGAGCAGCCAGACTTACTCAGGAAAATACTGAAAAACTACCTCTATCAGGGGCATGGACTGTCCTATAATTGATCAAACACACATAGATTTTCACATGTGGTGTCCCCTAGTTATTGTGTATTAGTACACAATCAGCAACGATCATTTGGGAAATGGAGAGAAGTAGAAAGAGGAGAATCCCCTGTTCAGAGAGAAACTCTGTTGATTTTTGGTGAATTTCCTTTCAGTTTTTTTTCTGTACATTTTAAAACAAGGATAATCTTGTACTGCAGATTATATTCGTGTTTTTTTAACTGATGATGACAAAGATTTTTCTGTCCCCCTCCCACCCCAACCTGAGTCACCTGGCCTGGCAGACACCACCTGGTCCTGTTTCTCTGAGCCTGACACCTGGAGGCAACGGCAACCCTGCCTCCTCCGTCTTGCCCCAAACCTGTGAACCCCCAAGTCCTGTCAGTGTTGCCCCCTCAGTATCACTCAACCCACCCACCGCTCTCCATCCCCTCAGCCACGGCGCCCAGAGGTAGAGGGAAGTGCTTTAGAAATAATTGGCTGCAGGCCTCTCACCAGGGCCGGATGATGGCCTCCCCCTAGGTTCCTTGGCTCCCACTCTGAACTCCAACAATCCATTCTCCACATTGTTGCCAAAATGCGATTTCAAAACGCAAATCTGATCACTTCACCCCCTGATTCAAACCTCAATGGCTGTAGCCCATTGCTCCTAGGATAAAGACCAGATTCCTTCTCTAGGAGGCCTGACTGCACACACGAATGTCCCCAATTCACGGCACCACACACCCGATTGCCATTCTCATAGGTATTAGTGGGCCCAACATCCCGCCTCCCTGAATCTTGGCGCCTCTAACAGTGATGCTTAGCCAAGAGCAGACGCTCTGAAAATGCGTTTGTGGATGAATGAACACTGCCCATAAACAGAGCATTGGAGCCTCACAATTCACATCGTGTCTTCTGAATTCTTGCCCTCTTGCTTGAAGGCAGGCTATATGATCAACCAGCATGGTGCATCTCTGCACACCCACAAAATTCTGGCACCATCTTAAATGCTAAGGATGGCATGGTCACTCCAGTTTTCTTTTCCAGGGGAGAAATCTGGTTCTTAGTCTATAGAATTTCTGGGGAAATAGCTCAGCAGAAAGTGGAGACTAGAGACAGTGGTTCCTGAAAATCCTGTTAGGTTCTCTGCATCCTTGCCTCCCCGGGGGAGCAAGGGACAGCCTCCATCCAGGATGTCCTCTCTCCTGGAGTCAGGAGATATAATTGTCCTGTAACTACACCAATCACTGAGCGCCTTTATTGGTGAGGGAGCTGCCTGAGGCCATTTTGAAAGGCAGCTGCCCAGGAGAGCTGAGGCCACAGGTCCACCTCAAACAAAGAAACTGTTGGAAATTTTCCCAGGTGCAACCTCTGAACTCTCTCTCCTTGACCATACTTTGGGGTTAGGTCACTGAGCCCCTGGGGCCAATGCAGAAATGAGACAGGAAGAGGTCACTGTGGTGTAAAATGTACAGTCTGAGGTCACCCCGGGATGGGACCCATCTCTGCCAACACCTTAGGGTTTTCCTGATACGATTAGTGTCCTTTTGGTTAAAATAATAATTCTCTTAAGATATGGCAGGTGGTGGGGTTTGTTACTCTTGCTTTTGGCAAAGTAACAAGGGGGAAAACAAACCGTCTGGAAGGAAAGGAGCTGGCTGAAGAGTAAGATCTGGACCCAGTTCCTTAGCACCTGGGCCACTAATGGAGAGAATGAAGTGTTTCAGCCTCAAAACGATCGTCATTCTGATCAACATTGCCGTCATCATTCTAAAGTTTGCCCAGCCCTGAGCCAGTGTTGCTGGCATGGTTAGCGTCTGTCCCTTAGAGACAAGAAGATAGAGTCTGAGACTCAAGATGTCAGGGCTTCTACGCAGCAAAGCTGGGCCTGACCCGCACGCAGATTCCTTACCTGATCATTGTTCCCTGAGGGGCTCCCCTGCTCCCTGGACATCCTGGCAGCTCCGGCAGATAAAAGAGAGAACAGGTTAGTGGGGACCTAGGGTCCAATTTTCCCACAGGCCCTTGTGGGTTCCAGTCTCCCTGTAGATGTCACCCTTCTGTCTTACAGGATGGGGTGGCAGTGCTCCAGTGTGGATCCCAAGGCCACCACATCCTAGCCACGGGACCACAGGCAAGTTAATTACACACATGGAGCCTCAGTTTTCCCGCCTATAAATGAGCTCATGGTACCTAACTCAGATTTCCCTTCTCCTCTGGCTTTTCTTCTTGTCCTTTGGGCCCTGGCATAAACTATTTCTACCTGGAAGCCTTCCCCTTCCCATCTGGCTCCAGATTGGTGGGTTCCCATAGCACCTCTTCTTGGACCCTCCTGACCTTTGTAATTCCTGTGTCTGTTGCTTCCCTGAAGGCAGGGGTGGGGCCTGTCTCGTTGACCCTTGGGCCACCAGGGTCCGCTCCAGTGCCTGGCACCGGGGGGTGCTTTTGTCGTCTCTGGAGCTGGGAGGAGGAGCGGAGGATGTCCAAGAGCAGTGGGCAGCCCACCAGAGCATGATGATCTCCAGCATCCACTGGGGGACTGAGAGGGCACAGGTGTGTTTAAGTGTTGGTGTTAAAGGACACCATCAATCTGAAAGAGAGATGCCAGGCTGCACTGTGACATCACAGATTTGGTGCTACTTAACATTTTTTCGTTATTATTTTCTGTAACTTTCTATTTTGGCA